GGTGAAAATTTCATGTCATTAGCACCTCTAGTAATATATTTACTGAGAAAAATGGTGACGTGTTCAATACTTATTTTACCCGCTGTATATTTTAAATGTAGCTTGTTGAATTATTAAGATTAAGAATGTTGTTTGATAAGCTGTTTTTAAATATGATTTTGATGCCTTGTATTTGAAAAGGGCTTGGGCTTCACATGGAGCCAAACAGTATAGGAAGGGACCTCCTAGTGCAGTGGTTCCCAAACTTTTTATCTTCTGACCCACAAAATATCCATGGCAAAAACTTGTGACCCCAAGTATTACTGGTCTGAGTACACGAACTCTGTTAATAACCCTAAAAACACAGGCTTTTTGACTATCTAAACAGCTTATACGCAAATATAAAAACTTATACTTTTTTGTGTTTTTGTTATAGTTAGGGAAAATATTACATCAGCAATTATTTTATTACCCTTTAAATTGATTTCTGGAGATTATCTAAGGTGCTTCATGACCCATAATAGGGTCCCAAGCCCAACTTGGGGAACCAAAGTGCAGTGGTTCCCAAACTTTTCAGCTTTTGACCCACAAAATAGTAGCAGAGACCTGTGCCCTCAACTATTTTTGTATGATACACATTTGTATCAGGTCAACTAAACATGGGCATAGTAACAATATTTTTATACTACATTTATCCATTTTAAATACACTAACCTCACTCCTTTGTAACAACTAAGGCAAAAATGTAATTAATTCTGAAAATCTTTTCAGGACCCCGCCTTGATGTTTCGTGACCCCACTTTGGGTCCCGACCCCAACTTTGGGAAACACTGTCCTAGTGTATAGGAAAAAAATATATTTCAAATTAATTTTTAAGGGTTATAATGGATTCTTTCTGAAAACATAAATGCTAGAARACTTTAGTTAGATTGAGAAGATTACAAGCAATTGAAATTAATTAATTAATGGGATCTTTAGATGATCTTTTAATGTACTCATTATTGCAACAAAAACAATGTTTATGCTTACTGTGGCCAGTTTTGCCAGCACATGTCACATTTACTCCTCCTTTACTGTTTAATGTTTTAAAAATAATTTGCTGTAACATAAAATAAATGGGGAATAGTGATTTATGACCTTTCACTAAAAGCAGCTTAAATGAGGAAACCCCTTTAAATACTGTGACAAATTAAATAAATGCTTTACATGAATCATGTATGCGAAAAAACAAACTTGTGTATTTTTAGAAAACACCAGAATTTAAGAAAATTATTTGCAGTAAAATTAAAAGTGTGTGATTTGCATCACATTCAAACCAAAACGACTTGTTACTTTGTCGCCCTCCATGCTAACAGACTGTCCTCCAGTAAAGATGAACTCAGGGACAGGATGACGACAACATGCCGGGTCAGAGCGCATCTTCCTGARGATACCCTCCTCCTCCTCACACATGCTCACCTCGTTGATTTCTCCGCGCAGATTAAGTCGGTCGTCGCTGTGCCACCTCCAGGCAGGAGAGCTGCCGTTCCCCCCACTCTCCTCTCTTCCTCCCGCCCGCGACAAACGGAGTGTCGGTGAGCTGCGTGTGCTCACAGCGCTGCGCACTCACTCACGCTCACCCAAGCGACATGCCCCGGCTACACGCGCCGCACCTGGAAGGCCGAAGTTGAAGACGAATCGTGAGGACAACAAGCGGATTCCGAACGTAAATTATTTCTTTTTTGGTCAAGCTTTTGTCCCTTTCTTCCCCCGTTGAGGAAAAAAAATGGCGCTCAAGTTCAGGATCTGACGTAGCCGCATCATTTGCATACTGCACAAACTGACCAATAGGAGGCCTCTCATCTCAAAAACTATATAACTTCATATTCGTTCACTTATAACACCAGCATCATTTTAGTTTGTCCACCTGATATGGTTCATTGTTTAGTTTCTGAATTTGATGTAATATTTGAATTAATAATTTAATTGTTTGCATACAACAAGAAATAGCTAGTTAGGGGGCGTGGCTACCTCGACCCCCACTGATAGTCACGTGGTACATTACCAAGTTTAGCCAATAGGCTGTCGAAAAAATGAGCTAAATGGGCGGTTCTTCTGTAGTGACCTCATATCATGCAACTTTTTTCAGCCAATAACATTAGACCATGATTTTTTCAAGACTTAACAAGTTAGATCTCCATTTTGCTAGCATGGCACAAAGCACACACATTTTTCTTTTTGCAATTTTTTTTACATTTTTGCATAGCAATATAAAACAACTGCGATTCAGTTTTTATTCAACGTTATGTTACTTTGCAGTGTTCGATTTACATAGTTTTACATTAACGCATATGCATCCTCCTCAAAAGGCTAGTTTGTGCCCAATCACTGCCACATAAATTGACCTTTACATCAGGTGAAAGTTAACCTGGAGTGGCCCGATCTTCCATGTGGTGGGAGTGTTAATCAATAGTTTTTTTCCTTTTATCAATCAATGGCACTATGTTTAATATTTTATTAGCTGTTACCACAAGGCCGGAAAGGAACTGCAAAACTCTTACGTGATACTTACGTTACCTCTTTTTTAGGTTTATTCAGATCATCATGGCTCAAGACATTTTGGTGTTTTCATCTTACCAACACAATTAGGTTGACAGGACCAGAACTGTCACTTTTTTATTATTAACTTTTATTTAGGCAGGCAAATCCCACTGAGATCATAGATCTCTTTTGTAAGGTAAACCTATTGTACATGTTTATGGTCTGGGAGATAAACCAAAGTACCTGGAGAAAACCCACGCAAGCATGGGGAGAACATGCAAACTCCACACAGACAGACCCCAGGTCCCAACCGGGGATCGAACCCAGGTCCTTCTTGTTAGTGCTAACCAATGAGCCATCGTGCTGCTTTACCATACTTTAGTCAGTAAACAGAAACCAGGATCATTCGTTAAGCACAAACGATAGATGTGCTAATTGTTGAAAACTTAACATCTAAATCCATCAGAGATCTACTGTTTAGTCTCCCTTTGCTGTGAACAAAATATGATACACCTACATTCCTGATAAATAACTGTAAAATGTGTTKTGTGTTTTGCTTATATACCCAGTTCTTTATCTAATACACTAATTATTTTTCATTCTATCATCCACGAAATTTGTTTGATCTGTATTCAACGCAAAGAAGAACTCAACATGGTTTTGAGCTAATTATTCTTCCTGTCTTTGCGGCACAATCTACACAGTTATAACTTAATGAACTGTTGTGAGACATGAAACACTTGAAATGAGATGCAATACACAAACACTTTGCTGAGATGTTGCCATTTCTTAGACCAGGTGGTTTGGTGATTTTAATTCATTATGACATGTTTATACTGAAATACCTATACTAATTAATGCCCAAGGGCAGCAGCCTTTCCCTACYATTAAAGGCAAAGTAAACCCCAGACAGGTTTATGGAGGTTGTCAGGATATCACAGAATCAATATAAAGACAGAAAACCCCACTCATGCTGTGATGAGCAATTTAAATTGTGTTGTAGAATATGAAGTCAGACCAATGAAGAGAGAGCCGATAAAGGTAAAARCTAACTTATTTGAATGCAGTTTCTAAGTATTGTAGTACCWCTCACGGGTCAGTTCTATAGACTGCAGTCAGGTGCCACAGCAAACTTTGAGAATAAAACAATTATACTTGAAATGAAGTGTGAATTACTATAGTTATATATATAAAGAAATCTGAACCATTTTTTCATATAGGTTCAGAAGTTGCTGGGAAAAAAAGACATTCCAATGGTAGAAAAGCTGAATYTTGAAAACAAAGTGAGTACATTTTTACAAACAAACGAGATCATCCTTTCCAAAGGTTTTATGAACAACTTTTAACAAATCCTGTGGTGTTTATTAGAAAAAAAGGCGCCTACATTGTAAAACACTGTTAAAATATCTCCTTAGTTCCTGGCTTTAAAATTATTTTATGYAATTTAAAATGGCCCAATAAGTTTAAAAAGCAGACTAATGCGTAAAATGTTGCTTATGATAAGTTTAAATGACATAATAACTGACATTTCTTTTTTTTTTTACCAGCAAGTGAAACATTAATATTTTTTTCGGTGTTCACATTTTATTGCCTGCCATCAAAAGGGTGAAAACAGATAATGGTTTAATTCACGCTGGGTTTTTGTTATCTTTTTAGGACCGTGTTTTATAAGCGCCTACCTTGACAGGACCAGTTCTTCTGAGGACCAGAACCTGGTTTTGGGTTACATTTATAGCTGAGGTGTACTGGTAGGTGAAGGGTTAGGATATAGAAATGTATGGAAGTCACAACATTGTCCTAATGAGAAGAGGAATATAAATGTGTGCAYATTTCTGTCTGTTARCAAAATATCTCAAACTACCAGGGTAATATCTAGATGTACATCMTCTGCAACTGATAAACTTTTGGAGTCAAATCYATCCAAGATAGCTGCCGAAGCAGTAACCATRTATGTTATTTTTAAGATTTGACTCTGCAGGTGATTTGCATTCCTTCAAGGAATATTAGACCTTTAATCTATCAACATTGTCTAATATACTTTAGAGCCAACTGGCCCAATAACAAAACTTTTGTAAAAGTCTAATTTGTCTGGCAAACTACAAACCTRTGGAGAACATGATGAAATATTCACTGCGGTGTGGGTTTTTAAAGCTGATAACTTTTAAAGGACTTTAACATATTCTATGTTGATTACTAATAATAAATTTGAATTGAGAGATTGTGCAAAACTTTCCACTTTATCTAAATAGCTGCCATTGTTTTTTTTCCCATTTACAGCAGAAAATAGCTGCTAAAAAAGGTYCAAGTAGCTAAAAATCAAAATTTTTGTTTTCACTAATTTTACAAAACTAAACCCACACTTGATAAGTCTGTTGAGCCACCCAGCACCACAAAAACACACGCATAAGATAATTTTTTCAGTCAGAAATGTATTAAATTATTCACTTTCATTACTTTAACAAGCACAATTTACAGTCAAAAACAGGCTATGGTCCATTAGTGCCCTAGACAAGTAAATAATACATTAGTCACTTGTAAAACACAAGGGCAGGATTCTTTGAAATCTGCTGTTTAAGTCATGTTAACTCATGATCAAACACAAAGCTGTACAAGACACTGTGCTTTACACCCCTCAGATCTCTGGAGAGGCATGAAGAAAGCAATGTTGACTTGATATTTCATTTGTTTGAACCTTAGCTAGCTGTGAAGATCCTTTGTGAATATGGATCTTTACCAAGCAAGACACAAGTATGAAAATCTGAAAGCTAAGGGCTRCTATGTTAAATCAAGAGGTTCTGCACATTTTAGACTAGACTGACCTCCTCCGTTGGAGGCAAGAAATGTTTTAATATGCAGCTTCTCTGCATTAGCATGGAGCTAATCTCAAACAGCACTTCTGCTACTGAATGAAGGGAAACCACTGAGGTCACAGAGGGGTAATAACAGCACACCTAATCTTGTAGTTTTAAGAAAAAATAATAAAATTTCTTAGCAGAAAAAACACTGATGGGCCACAGTGCAACAACTGGGCAAACACATTTAAAGATGGAGTTGTACATATGCCACAGTAATATCTGAATCCAATAAATACAAACACATTAAGGTGTTCTGCAATAAAACAGGTTAGATCAAACTATGCAATAAAAAGGGACGGAAAGCAGAAAGAATTAAAAGTTCTGAAAACAAAACCTCATACAGACAAAAAAAAAAAAAGACTGGACTTTACACAACAAACAACAAATAATTGATAGAGACCATTTGATTTAACTGATTAAATTACACATTTTGTAAACTGAATTTGATTTAAAGTAATAAACCATCCCAAACATTTGTTGGGGGTCCCATCTCCAAAGAGTCATCCATTTTGTTGCATATCATCATCCGAGTTTGGCAAAACTATTTTCCAGGTGAATTTTAGATGAATGAGGCATCACACAACCACTGTTTGTGTTAAAAATGTAAAAATAATAATAATAATAATAATAATCAACTCTGGAAGGAAAAAAAAACATGTATTTTCCAAGGTGGCTGGAATGTTCACCACATTTAGCCTCATACATCCCAAACACCATGCTGACCTCTCTTCTCACACGGTGAAAGCAGAGGTGAGAAAGATCTGTGCAATATGAAACAGGACGGAGGGGGGCCGAGGAGAGTTACGCACTGTACTGGAGCAGGGAGAAGTTCTTCATGGCACTATCCAGTACCACACCCGCCTCTTGCATCTCGTACCTGAGAATAACAGCCAACGTGACCATCAGTTCTCTCTAAACGTTTTATATTTCATCTCCCTGACAGGCCATGAGTCCACACTCACCAGTCAGAGGTGGAGATGGTGTAGTAGACCGGCAGCTGACTGGAGCTGGACAGACAGCTGAACTCCTCCAGGCCACACGTCCCCATGTTGGAGAAGAGCAGCCAGTCCCCAACACTGAGCTCCGGCAGGAGGCAGCGCTCCACCACCTGGTCCAGCTGGTCCAGTGACGGGCCCCAAAGGCTGCTGGGATACACGGCCTCATCAACGCACAGCGCATGCTGGAAAACATAAACAAACCAAAGCATTTATAACACAAACTGTAAAGTAAATATAAAAACARATGAAAAACAAGATCACTACCCAAGTTATAAGGGATTATAGATAAGATATGACACAAAAAATAATTGTCAGCCTGTCTCTGTTGTAGTCAAAACATTAAACCTCTTGTTTATATCTACACGACATGTTAGCTTATTGCCACCAGGTGTCAGGGTAGATGACGTGGCTCAAATCATTAAACCATGACCTGTGTTTCTAAGGATTTTTAATTACACTGTTGGTCTTTTGATAATGTGCCACTACGTTGTTTTATAGCTAAAGTAAACAGTGCGCAGAAGTGAAAACAGGCTTTCACAACATGAGGTAGGTTCATTTATTCACAACCCTGGATTACACTGCTCTAATTTTTATTGAAAGTGACGACAGAAAAACATTTAGCACAAAAAGGATGTGAATTTTTTTAACAGCTGAAGATACTTTTAAATAAGCTTGATTAGTCAACCTGAGATTTGTTTTGGGAGTTGTTTACTGGACTTTAAACACCTTAATAAAAACAAGAGTGTCAGTGTGTGTGCTCTGCTGAGTAAAGGTTCACTCCCTCAGAAGATAATTCTGTCTGATCAATCAGTAATCTGCTGTATTTACACACGTCACTGTATTGTACCAACTTAATTAAGATTGTAAACAAAAATATCAGGTTTCACCTACTACACGTACGAAGGGCAAACTATATAAAGAAAAAATCGGAGCAACGTTTAGGCAAAGACCTTGTTACAACGCTGGTTCTATCGTGTATGAGTCAATCTGTTTTGGGTTTCTGGGAACACAAAGCGAAGTCATATGCTAAAAACGGACATTAGCTCAAAGGAGAATAATGATACAAGCTAACAGTTAAATATTTAATGACATCATTTTTATAAATAGTTGGTGTTTAATCCTAATGGCTGCTTCTGACAGTGTCATCTTTTGTCCTATAAAATCACTGGTTTCATTTTGAACAGAAATAAGAAGTAAAATAAAATGTTAATAGTTTTGAAAAGGTTGATACTTTAGTTTTGTTTGAATAACCCAGAACTAACTCATGGGTTTGTTCCATTAAGGCTGATTACGTGGCGTCAYTCAGTTCAGAACAGTGTCGGTTCCCCTGAGTTTACACCTACTAACCTTGTGCASTGACGGGGCAGCGATGGCGTTTCCCAGCAGCTTGTGGTTGAATGAGCCATAAACACCTTCATTCATGTAATACAGGAACTCAGTATCCTCGTTCTTCTCACCTGCGTTTAAACATTTTGTAATAAAGTTAAAACATAAACCACGTTGCTCGGACTGCAGACAATTCAAGTCTCACCTTGGGACAAGTCTTCCCAGAGGCAGGACGCCATCTTCTTGCCGATGACATTGACAGCCAGGGTAAAAGCTGAGGCCACGTAGAAGTCGCCCGGCTGGGCCAGCACTTGCACACCTGACCTCTGGGGGAAGTAAGTGTCCAGGAGAGGCCTGACCGCTAACTCAACCTGCACAGAGCAAATGAAGGAACATCAGCTGTAATCATTCATTTCTCCTACACTAGAGATTTCTGACTTTCAATTYGATCCTAGAAAGAACTGACTGAACAGCATCTAGTTTCTAATGAATTACTTCYGTACATTCATGACATTTTAGTAACTTTTAAAACATTTTTAAATCATTCAACAAGTGCACCTTTTTATTTTAGTGACCCAWTACCTGCTTCAGCTGAAACTCTGAGCCAGTAAATCCACCACCAATGTCCAGGACRTGCATGTTAAATCCCAGATCCACCTGAACAGAGACCCCAAATAKTTGTTGCAGCAATATRATATTCWTTTAATAAACTTRCAACATTGCGATAAGTCTGTTTAAYWRAAAGATGGTTTCAGGACAAAACTAACCCCCATGTCAAATACACAGCGGGCATCTGACAGGGCTCGAGTGTAGGCCTGCTGCAGGTCTTGGCAGGAGCTCGGGATGTGGAAGGATGCTCCCACCACCTGGACGCCCAACTCCTTGGCCGTTTCCAGCAGACGTCTGCAGCTCTTCAGAGAAAAGCCGAAGGGCATGCTGGTCTCAGCTGCATGAGCCTCTGTAGTTAACTGCAACAGCAACCTAAAAGAAATCCAACAAAGCACAAACTAAGTAACAACTAGAACTTAAATTTCAACTCAAAACTGATAAACATTTTATTTATAATTAACACTATAGTGTAAAAATGTCAAGCAGCTACAGTGAATTGTCCAACTTACTTTGCATTAGGGTGCAAGCGAGCAATCTTCGTCAGCTCTGACTCATTTTCACACACAAGATGCTGGATGTTGTTCTTGGCTGCATGCTTGATATGTGCCAGCTGTTTGAAAACACCAGACAGAATGATGCTGTCTGGTGGCACACCATGCTCCAGAGCCAGGGTCACCTCCGCCTGAAGGGAAGCACACATGCAACTTTAGAGAAATTCACAGAAGCAAATCCAAAGTCCCTATTAAATACGATCAAAAAAGCACCAAGCTCGAAAAACAATATCATCTGACAAGTAATCAATTAAGAGCCCATGATATAACTGTCCTAAAAATAACAAAAATCGGGCGCTTTTGTAAGAGGATGAAGCACTATGCCACATAAACAAATCAAAAGCTGCTTGCACTTGTTTCTGCTCAAACTCACCTTGTTGGCACAAACAAATCCCAAGCCCAAGGAGGCCAGGACCTCGATGACTGCAGGGCTGCTGTTGCACCTGACTGGGTAGTAGGGCTGCAGCTGTGGCACCACGCTCTGCCAGCAAATGTGCTGACGCATCAGTGCACCGAGGTCACCCGCCACAAACGCGCTCTTCTCCACCTGTGCAACGCAACAAGAGGCAAAAGTAGCAAAATTATTTTAGGTTAAAAGTCCTGTTTTTTATTCATTTTAACCATCTCAGTCTAGTTCAGGAAGCTCTGAAAGCTGGACACACCTGAGCCTGTTCACAAATGTGCCCATCAATGACATCTTCCAGGGTAACTCCTCCCTCCAGGAGTTCAATGATGTAGTTGGGTTTGTCAGGGAGTCCTTTCATTTTAACCGTATTCCAGTAAGCCGATGATCATAAAGAACAGATAAACAAGTCAAGGGGTCACGACTGAGCCAATGGGGTCCTGCCGGTATGCAACAAACTACAAAAAATAGGAAAAAGGAACACGTTACTCAATTTCACCCTGTCAGGCCTCACTATAATGCTGCGTTCACACCGAACGCGATTTCAGCTTCAAAATCACAGCCAACGCTGAAGTTGGTCGCTTGTGCACTTTGAGGTCAGACGCAGGTCAGCTCTTGAAGCGCTGCACAGCAACAGCCTCCCCGCCCCTCCCTCCTCTGTCAGGCTCTGTTTAATGTCGGACRAGGAAGTGGCTTTGCTTTATTTACAGAGTGCAAGAGCATGTCACGTTCATCAGATAATTAATTCATAATTAATTCACCAGATAATTCAGAGTAGAGGCTCACAGCTCGCTTTCAGGACTATTTTTCCAGTCTGATGAGTCGCTGCCACGCATTGGTGCAGATATCTCCTGTCAGGACACCGACTGCAGGCACTGGATTTCAACTAAAGAGCTCCTCTCCGTCTGTTTCAGGTTAGTGGACATCATTCAGTAAACTGTCCCGTCRGGAAATGTCGTTACGTCACACAGTGGAGTCTCTCTGATTGGTTGATGCTGCGCGTCGAGCTGCAAAAGTTCAGATTTTCTAACTTCAGCGATTTGCGCCTCAGCGCGTCGAACGCTCAGATCGTTCAAATCGCACTGCTCTAATCGCGCTTGAGGCGCCGCAGCACTTCCCGACGTTGCTTGAAGCGTGTCCACCATAGTCTTTGCATGTAAACCTGATGCTCCTGACGCTGAAATCGCGTTTGGTGTGAACGCACCATAAGCACACAAACAAATTACAGTGGAGACTTTATCTCATAAAAGAACTTTACATTATATTGTTTTCTATTTAAAATATTTGCAAAATAAACAAACACACTCAAAACAAACAAGCCCAAAAGTTCCTATTACAAATTTATGTATGAATGTGAGTCTATTTCAACTTTGTTATGAAAAAAAAAAGATACTAACATGGACAAGTCAGGAGATGGACCTGTCCCGCTATCAGCTAGGATCCCAAGGTGGCTCAGCGTTGAAGTCAAAGTGCTCCCTGTAAAGGGCCGCCCCTAGGCCCTCTGGGTAGCGCTCATACACCTGTGCTGAGAAAGGGGAGCCCTAAGACAGAGAAGGAAAAAAACATATATATTACATATAACCCAATCAAATAAATACAAATTATTAGAAGCTGTAAACGGAGAATGCATGCCATGTCCTTGTCATGTTAAGGTCCATGTTCTGAGAATTCACTAAATTGCCTCGGTTTACTTAAGCTTACTAAACTTGTTGTTTACAAATTTAAAATAAAATCCTTAAAAATGATTTTGGGTCATCTTTGTGCCGTTTACAGTGAAATAAGCAATTAAGATCAACCAATAATGCAATCATTGCCGGCTTTTTCTATGGAACCAAATCAAGCGCATGCGCAGTGAGTAAAAACAATGAGCGACAAGTTGACAAATTGCACTTAAATGCGTCACGAAAGCAGAGGAACTAAACCCTAAATTTCATTACTGTTGCATTTTTTTTTCCAGTAATGGTGAAGCTGCGCTTATGAAACGCCACTGGTATAAAACACCGATAAAAGAAAAGACTCCTGCTGGCAAAGAAGCCGCTAACGGTGAGCTGTGTGGCTCTACTGCCCTTAAACAGAGACGGCTGTGCTAGCACCATATTTCATAAATATCCACACACAAACTCTAACACAAATATACTACATGAATGAATACTGGTTTGACGTCGCTTTACACATAGTCAGCAGCTTTCGATTCATACAAATGACGTCCAGAAAACACACTTCGGTAAATCGGGCTGTCATGTGGAGCAAGACGACAGAAAGAGCAGCCCGCCATGTTACGTCCGCCGCTCGATGAGTCCTTAGAATCGGTCTAAGTATTTCGCGGTACTTACGTGAGATAACGGCCAGCAGGTTTTGGAAAATCGTCTTCTCTTTTTCGGCGGAATTTTTAAAGAGTAGTGGGCCCAACGATGAAAGAAAGAGAGAGGGCTGTTGTTGCCATATGTTTAAATGAGAACCCCGCGTCGGCTGTGGCGTCCTCTCTGTTGGCTGGTGGGTGGAGAACTACTGGAAGAGACGAGGGGAAGTGCAAAAGGTAATCAAAGTCCTGTGGGCGGGGTCTGTAGTTCAGTTCCACCAATCAGCGCTCTTCATTTTTGAGCTCATACCCAAATATGTATTTCCGAATATTGTACAGTCTGCAGTATTTCGGTGGTGTTTATTTAGGTTACATAATCATAAAGTTTCCATAGAAGGAGCCTTAGTTAAACAGCCTAAAACTGTAGTTGTGTTTTAATAGAAGACATTACACATTACAGTAAATACCATTTTGATAAATCCCTTGTAAAACTTAATTTAAACAGTAACAAAATATTCAGTTTAACAGAAAATGTCAACTACTGATGAAGTCACAGTTGATCCATTCACCAAGTCTTTTATTTATTTATTTTTTACATTTATTCATTTTATTTGTAACAATTATATACACAACAAAGAACAAAAAAGACTTAACATAAAACATTTTCAATTTTGCATGAACTTGCCTGTACAAAGACACTCAGTATATATTCCATTGACATTATTACTATTTTTCAAACAGTAAAAAGCACTTTCATGTTTATTTGTCTAAAACTTTGCAACGTCTTGTTTAGCTAGCTCATATTTAATTTTACATGAAAATACAATAACTAACATTACTGAGCAATGCAAGAAAAATACAAGAATATAGCTTCTTGATTTTAGTGAAATGCTACAATATGTAAATTAGAGTACACAGAGTACCATTTGTGACAAACTGGAAATGTTATGCAAATACGCACGAGAACAAGGTTCACAGTTTAAACTTGTACAGGCTGCTCTGAACACCTTAAGGCATTTTCCCAACAGGGCTTTAGAGACTGAAAAAAAAGGGGCCTTTATTTTCAGCTGCATGCTGCCACCACTTACGCACTGCCATAATAAAATCCCATACCTGCCTTCATGCAAATATGAGTTATTTTTATAGGGCTGAGCCCAGACTTTTAGTGCTAATTTTTGAATTCAAAAGGCACATTATGAGAAGCTGGGCTAAATGTTTTCTCATTAAAAAATATCACAAAGTTGCAGGYGATTATGGGATTTTAAAATGTTACAGACAACAGGTGCATGCCTTTTGGTTGACTTAAAAGAAAGCTAAAAAATACAATAAACAGCATTGTTTTTTCTTTTGTTGTTTTTGTTTTGCATACTGGAATGTGGAGGATTAACATTTGAGAGCTTACTGAAATTGTTTTATTAATAATCCGTTGAAGTTTCCTTATTTCATGCCACTAGTTGTAAACTTGACCGTTTAATGTCAGTTGGGGAAAAAAATTAATTTAGCAAGATTTATCTCATAATGTTTTGTGGAATAAACACAAACAAGCCAAAAAGCTCAGCCTGCAGCATCTTTAATCATTAGACCWTTTCATTTTCAGTCTAACTGTGTTCGGCAGCCATCAAGGTCTTATCTTTGTTTTATGACACTTCARTACAATAAAACACTCTGTCCTAAGATTCTTAACAAAAACAAGGGAGGTCCTCCAACACAAAAACTTTGAAGACACCCAACTTGACAAAAAGACTGTTTTGATTCCTGCTGGGCGGTCTTACTTGAGTCACTTGAGCATCATAAACATCCAATTTTGAAAGAAATTATTCATAGTGAAATATTTGTAATCTTGGTATAAAATTTATCGGGGACAACTTGAACATGGAAAAAATATATTTTGAGATTTATATGAGGGTTCATGAGGACAAATGAAAAATCTAGATTTTGTACTTTAGTTCCACTGAGTTGAATCAAATGCTTTCACTGTCCTCTAAGGGGAAATGTTTTTTTCCAGCCAGAAGTTCAGATATGAACRAACAGCTATGAATAATCAGTTAGACATACATCTTCCAGCAGATTCAAAATAATAATTACACGTTCTGACCAATACAAATATAAGTGCAAGCTCCTTTTTTTATCAACCCATAAAATATGTTAGTACTGGAGAAAATTTGAGAGGCAAACTTTTAACAGCAACATAGTTGCTAAAATAAAAATAAAAAATATCTATTTCAAAGCAGACAAGCATCAGATTCTRGTGCTCAGATTAAAATTTGTCAGGCTCCATAATTTATTTTTTCATTTCAAGCCTGAACTTTTGTGTTGACTTTTGAACTTTGAGTCGCAGAAACAGAACAGAAGGTGAAACCAGGTGAAATCATTAATTCAGAACAAGATTATTCTTTTAACCATTAAGAAACCCACAAGAGACACATAAAACAGAGGGGGTGGAATCACGATGGTCAGTGTAACACAGAAGTTATTGATGATTTACAAACAGATGAACATTGATTAAAAGTTGTTACTGATTTCTACATCCTCACTGTCACTAGTAGGCAGCAACTAAGGTGTTGTTGTTGACTTTACCACAAGAGGGACATTGGACAGATCTGTTTATCTAGCACCAGTGCAGCACAAAATGTAAGGACATGTGTTTTGGTAGATTTTTTATTTTTTGTACAAATGCTTCTTGTCAATAAGTTTTATAGTGAGCACCTGATTGGCAGCACCTGGGACTAGAAGCTCCAACAGCAAAAATAAGCTGTTTGACAACAGCAGGGAAGATTTGGCAAAACTTTCATGTGCACAACCCACATACTCTGCTGTACTGCTCATCMMACAAATGCATGTTCCTGACAAATGTAACGTCATTTAAAAGGAAATTTAACAGGTTTTCCACTGATATCATGTTTATTGCCAAGGAGCATTGTTAAAACAAGAACTAATATACCAAACACACATTTCCTTACTTTTTGTGCTACATTTATATATCCTCAACAATATTAAGTTTTTCAAAATAAATTTTCTCAATTTGTTGTAAGTCACAGAAACAATCAGTCCAYTGAACTACAGGTGCTGGTCATAAAATTAGAATATCATGAAAAAGTAGATTTATTTCAGTAATATTATTACATAATAAAAAGTCAAACTTGTATATTATATTCATACATTACATACAAACTCATATAT